GATTTCTCCATGTTGCCCAGGCTGGTCTCAAACTCCCGAACAGGTGATCTGCTTGCCTTGGGATTACCGGCGTGAGCCACCGTGCCTGGCCGATGGTGATGTTCTCAACCACCACTCTGTGCTGCTTCCCACTGTGCCCAGAGAAGGCCTGAAGGCTTCTCTATTTCCTGAAAAGTTACTTACCGCCCCTTGACTTGTTCTCTGCTTTAAAGACGCAGCTTAGTGTTCAGTGCCGGTGCAAAAAGATGTGAGGATGTTGACAGATGCTGGTCCAATGTTCATGTCCCACCAGGGGGCCAAATTGCCCATCTGTAAATAAGGTTTCTTGTCTTCAGACTCCATGGTGATTATTTTCTTCCTGAGGGGCCAGTCATCCTTTTAATCTTGTGGTAGAAAATTAAGGTGAGTTTCACTGAAGTGTGGTTGCATTTTTAAGGTTTCTTTTAAATATTAGTTTAGAGAAGTTAATTAAGTACCTGGCCTGTGGATCCAGCTTCCTGGTTTTCCTACTGTTTTCACTATTTAGACGAGGGACTTTTCTTAGGAGAGTTAGATTACAAATTGAAGGGTGAATGAATACCTTATCTGCAGATCATGAACATTTGGGGTCCTGAATAGGTAGTAGGCTTGCGTAATAGCACCTGAATAAAGTTAGACAAACATGATTATCTCTGATCTTAAAGGCTTTGAACAGTCTGAGGTTAAAGTGTTTGTCATAGTTTCTAAAAGTCAAGGGAGCGAGCGAGGGAGGGAGTTTACTTTCTCAGTTTTCTTGCAGTGATTTTTTTTTTTTTTTCTTACTGTGTGATAGGGTTTCTCCAGGTGGTAGAGGTTGCTTGGAGGTCTGGCTCCCAGCTTGCTTGAAAGCAGTGATTGTTAATGTTTTGGGAGATCGTTGATCCCTTTGAGAATCTGGTAAAGCCTATATGGGTACCCTCCCCAGAAAACACACACACACACACACACACACACACACACAGTTTTGTTTTTGAGACAGCTCTGTACACACACACACACACACACACACACACACACACACACTGTTTTGTTTTTGAGACGGCTCTGTAGCCTGGGCTGGAGTGCTATGTCTCGATCTCAGCTCACTGCAGCCTCTGCCTCCCAGGACCCAGTTCAAGCAATTCAAGCAATTCTCCTGCCTCAGCCTCCCGCGTAGCTGGGATTACAGGCACATACCACCACGCCCAGCTAATTTTTGTATTTTTAGTAGAGATGGGGTTTCACCATGTTAGCCAGGCTGGTCTTGAACTCCTGACCTCGTGATCCGCCCACCTTGGCCTCCCAAAGTGCTAGGATTACAGGCATGAGCCACTACACCTGGCCACAATGTTTTGTTAATGGTTCTTTAAGGGCCACTCAACTAGGCTTTAGAGTGTATGGCAATTCAACATCAGAACTTGTTTACTGCCCCTCCCCTTCTTTTTTTATTTTTTGAGAAGGAGTCTCGCTTTGTTGCCCAGGCTGGTCTCAAACTCCCGGGGCTCAAATGATTCTCCTCTTTTGACCTCCCAAAGTGCTGGGATTATAGGCATGAGCCACCTCGCCTGCTTGACCTCCCCTTCTGTGTACCGTCCTCAGCCTGGGGTCCTGACTTGAAAATTCAGCTAATAGGTGAATTCAGCTATTGTTCTTACTGTCTTGTTTGTAGCCCAGAATCATTTGCATCTGAAAGAACTCACTACCCACTGCAGCTCCATCAGATGTGATAACTTCAGGAGCTAAGTGTAAAGGCCTGCATTCCTGCTCTTAGCTAACAGGTATTGGTGTAGAAAGGGGTCCAGGTAGCTAGCCTGTCACATCTTTGCAGTGCTGTCCCTTCCCCGTCTCTCCTACTGCCACGCTGAATTCTCCGAGCTCACTCACTTTTATGTACCTTGGCACATCTTGTTCTTTACCTGGGATGCCCTTCCATTCTTCCTCCACCCCAGGAATGCCTGCCAGTCTTTTAGTACCCAGATCAAGTGGAAGCCTTGCTGAACTCCCCTGGCAAACTCTCGCTCTTCCTGTTTCCATGGTAATTTTTCAAGGTCTCTGTTACAGCGTACATTACCATGTTGTAATTATTTTTTATGTGTTTGGCACCTGTAAATCAAGTGCTTGTCATAATCGTCTTTGATTACCCAGCATGGTGTCAGGTGCTAGATAGGTTTGCCATCCAGAGTTGATACAAATGAGTTCTGGGGTTAGAACACAGGATGCAGATTCTGGCTTTGTGACTTCATCTCTTTGTGCCTCTGTTTCCTCAGATGTGGCTTGTGGTGATGGTGCAGTTCTAAGTAAAGTGAAATAGTACCTAGCAACTGGGCCAGGTGCCATGGCTTATGTATGTGATCCCAGCAGTTTGGAAGACTGAGGCAGGAGGATCACATGAAGCCAGAAGTTTGAGACCAGCCTTGGCAACAAAGCAAGACCCCATCTTTTTTTTTTTTTTGAGACAGAGTCTTGTTCTGCCACCAGGCTGGAGTGCAGTGGCACTATGTCTGCTCACTGCAACCCCTGCCTCCCAGGTTCAAGCAGTTCTCCTGCCTCAGCCTCCTGAGTAGCTGGGACTACAGGCATGCATCACCATGCCCAGCTTATTTTTATATTTTTAGTAGAGATGGGATTTCGCCATGTTGGCCAGGATGATCTCGATGTCTTGAACTTGTGGCCTGCCCACCTCGGTTTCCCAAAGTGCTGGGATTACAGGTGTGAGCCACTGCGCTCGGCCATGGATTCCATCTTTACAAAAAAAAATTTTAATTAGCTGAGCATGGTGGTGTGTGCCTGTAGTCTCAGATACTCAGGAGACAGAGGTGAGAGGATCGCTTGAGTCAAGGAGTTGGAGGCTGCAGTAAGTTGTGATCATGCCACTGCACTCCAGCCTGGGCAACAGATCAGGACCTTGTCTCCAAAAAAAAAAAAAGTCAGCAGCTGTTAACTATTGTGATATTTGATCATAACATTAAGCATATTATTGAGTAAATGAGAAACTCTTAAAAATAACCCAGCATAATTGGAGAAAACATTATTTAGATGTACAGAAATTGAGTTAATTCTGCATTCTCCAAGTTTAATCTCAGCGTAGATCAAATAAAGAAATCTAAATTTATAGGGCTCCCGGAGAGGCTTGGTTAGGACCCTCTGTAATCTACTATTCATTTCTTTATATTAAAGTTAACTGTCATCTGTGTGAAGGCCTTAAGCCATTTATTTACAAGTAGATACTGTGGAAATATAAGGCTTTTCTTGGTAAATGTTAGGAAAACTCATGTACACTATTTTTTTTTTTTTTTGAGACAGAGTTGTGCTCTGTTGCCAGGCGCCAGGCTGGAGTGCAGTGGCGCGATCTCGGCTCACTTCAACCCCTGCCTGCTGGGTTCAAGCAATTCTCCTGCCTCAGCCTCCCAAGTAGCTGGGACTACAGGCGCACACCACCACACCCAGCTAATTTTTGCATTTTAGTAGAGACGGGGTTTCACTATGTTGGCCAGGATGGTCTTGATCTCTTGACCTCGTGATCTGCCCACTTTGGCCTCCTAAAGTGCTGGGATTACAGGCATGATTCACTGTGCCCAGCCCATGTACACTATTTTAATATTATGATTTAAATACGTTCAGAAACCTTGTGTTTTTCAAATCCCTTTTCAGAGTAGCCCCAGTAAGCTTTGGAAGTATGTGTGTAGTGGTGTCACCATTTGTAACATGCAAAGCCCATGGGAATCCATGGGAAAGAATCATAGAAGCATCTGCGTCTGCTTCTGCGACACATCAAAGGTGGTGAACAAAAAAGGTGTCACTGAAGGAGCTCTTTTATTTGTAGGCAAGATAGAAATATCCTGCTAAAGTCATAAAATAGAATAATATTTTAGAATTGGAAGGAACTTGGCTAGTCCAGCCCCTCTCACTTTGCAGATGAGGAAACTGAGGTCCAAAAATGTGGAGTGATGTCACGTTGTGCTGGGATGTGGAGAGGGCTGTGTGCTGTGAGTCGTCCCATGGATGATCATGTGGCTGGCTGGGCCTCGAGGGGACCTTGCATTCATTCCCTCTCTATGCAGGAGCCCCTGTCTGTCTTCAAGCACTTGGCTTGCTTCTAGAAAGCTTTCCTGGACTCCCCAGGCAGTATTTCCTTTGTGCATTTTTAACTAAATTTTCCTAAATTAAAAGCAGTGAAATCCAGGCCTCCTGGAAGGGTATTTAGTTTTCCTTTTTAGCAGAACAATTAAGTTAATGACAGTGTTGGAAGCCTCAACTACCCCATCCAGTGATTGATATACATGCCCCCAAAGTTTTGTAGTGAAATATAAAACAGTCTGTAATCTTGATTTTGTAATCAAGGTTTAACCAATTACAGTAGGTCTCAAAAAGTCCTTAGCAATTGAGTTGTTAAGTCACCCACCAAAATCCCTGCCATTGACTCCTTGGAGCCATTTCCTTTCATGTTTTGGCTTCTTGGTGTCTACATAGTTTCTAAGATCAGCAGCTCAATACATTGTGCTATTATCTCCAGGTTTCCATGTCTTACATAGATGTACACTTGCTGTTGTCTCCTTTTTCAAAATGTAGTTCAGTTTGTGACTCTTTAGTTTTTCAAGTGAAAGAAGGAGAATGTTTTAGAAGAAGTTAAATAATTTGAAAATTAGATGCCCATTGATTATGGAAAAATACTTGTGGTTATAGCCATACAGTTATCGAATCTATGCAGAAACTAGGCAAATTTTTAAAACCTGAGATCTGGCCTGGCACAGTGGCTCATGCCTGTAATCCCAACACTTTGGGAAGCTAAAGCAGGCAGATTGCTTGAATCCTGGCGTTTGAGACCAGCCTGAGAACATGGTGAAACCCCATCTCTACAAAAATACAGAAATTAGCGAGGCATGATGGCACACATCCATAGTCCTAGCTACTTGTGATCATGCCACTGCCCTCCATCCTGAGTGACAGAGTGAGACCTTGTCTTAAGTGGATGGATGGACGGATGGATGGATGGACAGATGGACAGATGCACGGATAGACAGACAGACAGACAGACAGGTAGGCAGGCAGGTAGGTAGGAAGGAAGGTAGGCGGGCAGGTAGGTAAGTAGGTAGATGAATAAATTAAAAATCTGAAATTGTATAAGTCCCGATAGGTAGGTAGGTAGGTAGGTAGGTAGATAGATAGATGGATAGACAGACAGATAAAAAATCTGCAATCTTGTAAGTCCCCCTGTTGTCAACAGAGAAGAGAATCATACTACTCTATACCCGTAGCATCTCTGGAGGAGAGCCAAGTTGTACATCTTGGTTCTAGTCTGTACTATGGAACCAAGGTATTTGCTAGCAGACAGTAAAGAGGAGGCTTCATTGTGCATATTCCTACACTGTAATTTTTGGTACGTTTTTCAGATCTTCCTCTTCTTCTTTTTTTTTTTTTTTTTTTGAGACGGAGGTTCTCTCTTGTTTCCCAGGCTGGAGTGCAATGGCGCGATCTCGGCTCACCGCAACCTCCGCCTCCTGGGTTCAGGCAATTCTCCTGCCTCAACCTCCTGAGTAGCTGGGATTACAGGCACGCGCCACCATGCCCAGCTAATGTTTTGTATTTTTAGTAGAGACGGGGTTTCACCATGTTGACCAGGATGGTCTCGATCTCTTGACCTCGTGATCCACCCGCCTCGGCCTCCCAAAGTGCTGGGATTACAGGCTTGAGCCATCGCGCCTGGCCAGATCTTCTAAAGAAAACAAATCTTGTACTGAGTTGTTTAATAACTTTTGATCCATTTCCCAATGTACAGTACAAATATCGAAGGACAAAAATGCAATAATTAAAAAATCACTGCTATTTAAATTCTGTATGAAGAGATAGAGTTTAAGTTCCTAGTAGCTATCTCACTTACTTGTTGGCTGTGATAGAGTAATCATTGTAGCAATCCTTTTATACATGTTTGAGTTACGCATATAGCTTTGAGGTAAAGGTACTAACACCATATTTAGTAGTTTCTCCTAAAGGCCAAAATTATAGCCTCATGTTCATTTACTTAGAAATGGTATTTTAAAAATATCTATGTCTTACAGTGCATTTATTTGAAAAAGATCTATTAAATGCCCATGCATGTGGTAGGCAGTACACAAGTTGCTAAAATTTAAAGACAAATAAAACGAGACCTTCTTATTTGGTGAGGTTGATGAAAAGTGAAGCAGATGATTAAAATGCAGCAGCGTAAGTAATTATTTGTGAGTATAATTTATTTTTAGTGTATAAAGTGGTTTTCAGATGTATGCTTAATAGTCTCAGTCACTTGCATCTCCTTGAATTGAATGGGAGTGGAGGAAGATGGGGGGTTGCAGCGGGTTCACTGGAAGCATGTGTTACTCTACATGTATCAGGGAACACATGGTATATCTGGCAGAGTGTATCCAGGGGGAGAAATAGCATGTTGGTTCTTGATTTTATTGTTTGGCGTAGGGTTGTCACATAGCAAGGGGACAACTCAAATTTCATAGGAAAGATTGCCTGACTTTGCTTTCTCCTGCATCTTTTTTTTTTGCCCCTTCCTTCCCTCCCTCCCTCCCTCCTTCCCTCCCTTCTTCCTTCCCTTTCTCTCTCTCTCCCTCCCTCCCTCCCTCCCTTCCTTCCTCCCTTCCTTTTTCAGATTTTTCAGATTTGCCTAGTTTCTACATAGATGCTTGCTTGCTTGCTTGCTTGAGATGGAATCTCACTCTATTGCCCAGGCTGGAGTACAGTGGCATGGTCCTGGCTCATTGCATCCTCTGCCTCCCAGGTTCAAAGGATTGCCCTGCCTCAGCCTCCTGAGTAGCTGGGACTATAGGCGCGCACCACAACACCTGACTAATTTTTTGCATTTTTAGGTAGAAATGAGATTTTGCTGTGCTAGCCAGGTTGATCTCAAACTCCTGAGCTCAGGCACTCCACCCACGTCAGCCTCCCAAAGTGCTGGGATTATAGGCATGAGCCACCACGCCCAGCCTCTTTTGTTTTTTTGGTATGGAGTCTCGCTCTGTCACCCAGGCTGGAGTAGTACAGTGGTGCAATCTCGGCTCACTGCAACCTCTGCCTCCTAGGTTCACGCAATTCTCCTGAATTTCTAGAGTTGCTGGGACTACAGGTATGCACTACCACGCTGGGCTAATTGTTCTATTTTTAGTAGCGACGGGGTTTCTCCATGTTGGCCAGGCTGTTCTCAAACTCCAGACATCAGGTGATCCACCCGCTGCGTCCTCCCAAAGTGTTGGGATGACAGGTGTGAGCCACTGCGCCTGGCCGTTACTTTCAATAATAGTACTTATCAGTATATTTATTACTGATTATACAAGTCTGGTATGTCAAGTAAAAGTTTAAAATATGTGGACTTGGCATTGTGTCTCACACCTGTCATCCCAGAACTTTGGGAGGCCAAGGTGGGAGGATTGCTTGAGCCTAAGAGTTGGAGACCAGTCTGGGCAACCTAGGGAGACCCTGTCTCTACAAAAACATTAAAAAAAAAAAAAAAGTTAGCTAGGCATGATGGCATGTGTCTGAGATCCCAGCCGCTTGGGAAGCTGAGATGGGAGGATCTCTTGAGCACAGGAGATCAAGGCTGCAGTGAGCCATGATCACACCGCTGCACTCCAGCCTGAGCCACGAAAGTGAGACTCTGTCTCAAAAAAGAATCAAAACCAAATTTTAATTTGATGTTCAAAAGACTTTTTTCTTTTGAACCAGTCTCTTGTTAACAAAGTTTGAAGTGATCCCACAGTTGTTTAAATAAACTGATTCTCCCACCATAAAGTAACTATTTTCCATCCCATTGTCTGATGAGGTGGTCTGAGTCGTTGATCAGATGGAAGACTGCAGACAAGTTAGCTCTGTATCTCAGTTACATATGTTTTTGACCCTTTTTTTTTTTTTTTTAGTTACTTTTTTTTTTTGAGAGGGAGTCTCACTCTCTCGCCAGGCTATAGTGCAATGGCGCAGTCTCGGCTCACTGTAACCTCCACCTCCTGGGTTCAAGCGATTCTCCTGCCTCAGCCTCCCAAGTAGCTGGGACTACAGGTGCATGCCACCACATCCAGCTCATTTTTGTATATTTAGTAGAGATGGGGTTTCACTATGTTGTCCAGGATGGTCTCGATGTCTTGACCTCGGGATCCTTCTGCTTTGGCCTTCCAAAAACGCTGGGATTACAGGCATTTGCTACTGCGCCGGCCCCATATTTTTTACTCTTAAGCAAGAAATCTTCACAGGTCCTCCTGTAATCTGGTGCTGACCTAGAACCATGACCACAGAGGTGCCCATGAGTTCTTTCTGTGTCCCTTGAGGATGTTAGTACCAAAGGCTACTTAAATCCTTCCTGGAGGGGAATGATTTCATCTTTCGGGAATTATTGTTTTAATTTGTGTCATTTACCTGTTTTGCTTTCCTATCACAACTAACTCCATGAAAGTAGTTATATTGAAAAAAGATGCTTATATTAAAATCAGATAGGCTTCATTAATAAAATGTAGTGTGCAGGTTTCTATGACTAATAAATAGTTTAAAGCCAGGGTTATAGCTGGTGTAATGAAACCAAATAAAGTTTCTGACTCATTCGTAACTTTGCAATAGTTTAAATTTATTTTTTGTTATTATTCACCACTCTGTTCTTGTTAGAACAAGGCAGGGAATAATAAATAAATAATCAAATGGAAAAAAAATGATTCCACATTATTTTCTGTTTGCCTAAATTACAACATAAGGAAGCAACAGAAGAAAGATCCCTTTTGCTTCAACATTCCGTTGACCCAAGAAAAATCACACAAGGTCTGGAAGCAACTTTTATTTGGAGAACTAGTCTTGAATACGTTCAACTGAAAGTCAGTGCAAGCTTTTGCTCCTCTAAAATGATGTCTTTTGCCTAAGAATAGATCCTTCTTTCAGTCTAAAATCCAGATAAGCTGTCTTACACTGATCCAAATAGCCAGCGGCCTCATTCCCCCCAAACTTGACTAACAACACAGCAATATAATTTTACCGTTTAAAACTTGGCTGACCCAAACATGAACTTTCAAAGAAAACAAGAGCCATTACGAAAAGAGATTCCATTTCTTTCTGGGCCCTAAGTTAAGATGACTTTCCAGAACTTTGAGAAAACTTATTCTTCCAGTGGACACTTAATTGTGTAACAAAATAAACATTTACAAGGGAGGCAACATATAACATTCCCTATGTGTAGATTTTTCAAATGTCTTTTTTTCAGGGGTGGATTTTCTTTCTAGGGTTTTCATAGGTAATTTAATTTACAAGGTTCTACCTAAAGTTGTATCATGATCAAGGATCGCTTGAGCCCATAAGTTTAAGACCAGGTTAGGTTGGGCACCATGGCGAATCCCCATCTGTACTAACACTGCAAAAAGTTAGCTGGGTGTGGTGGTGCATGCCTGTGGTCCCAGCTACTCTGAAGGCTGAGGTGGGAGGATCTCTTGAGCCCATGAGACAGAGGTTGCAGTAAGCTGTGTTCACGACTATAGCACTTCAGCCTGGATGACAGAGCGAGATCCTGCCTCAAAAAAGAGGGTGAATTCTACCTACCTGGCAGGGTCATTGGGATAATTGCATGAACATGGGATCTAATTCACCACCCAGTACATAGTAGGAATTCATGAAATTGTAGTTGCTCTTCTTATAATTATTAATTTGACCTGGAACTTCCATGTCCTGATTCTTAGTTCTTGCATGATTATACACATATGTTATCTAATTGCTGATTTTCAAATATTAACTATTTCAACAATTAAATGGCTGAACAGTCATTAATTTCAGGTGGTCCTAAACCCAAAGCAGTGAATTTTATGAGGTGGATAAGCCTACATTTCATTGCAGTTTAAAAAGAAAAAGTGAAAAGTTAGAGTCCTAGGTCATAAGTGACTTTATCCTTCCAAGCTATAAAATGAAGGAGCTGCACTAGATAGTCTCTAAGGAAACTTCAAACTCTGAAATTCAGTGATTGATATTAGGCCCTATATCAATCTGTGCATCTTTTAATTTCTACAGCTTCTAAGAAATGAGTATCATAGGTTGTGACGTGAGAGTGGGTGTAGGGAAGTTATTATCAGTGGTCTTTTGTGAGCAAGATGAAAACAAGAACAAAAGAAAAAAGAACAGCAAGCCCGGCACAGTGGCTCACACCCCACACCTTTAATCCCAGCACTTTGGGAGGCCAAGGCAGACCGATCACTTGAGGTCAGGAGTTTGAGACCAGCCTGACCAAAGGGGGGAAACCTCGTCTCCACTCAAAATACAAAGATTAGCTGGGTATGGTGGTGGGCTCTTGTAATCTCAGCTATACGGGAGGCTGAGGCAGGAGAGTCACTTGAGCTGAGGAGGCTGCAGGAAGCGGAGATGGCACCCCACTGCACTCCAGCCTGGGAGACAGAG